TTTGACAGAGAGAGATGTAGCAAGAGAGGGAACACAAGCAGGGGAAGTGGGAGAGGGAGAAGCAGGCTTCCCGTGGAGCAGGGAGCCCGATGCAGGGCTCGATCCCAGGACCCTGGGATCATGACCTGAGCTGAAGGCAGACGCTTAACGACGACTGAGCCAGCCAGGTGCCCCTTGGTTGCTCTTTTAAAATGTAAATTATATATTACTCCTCTGCTAACACCTGTTGTAGTTGGAATTAAGTTCCTATTCTTACAATGTCTATAAAGTCCTATGATCTAGCCCTCACTTAGCTCATCTCCCACGACTCTCCCCAAGTTCTCCTTCTATACCTTGAAAATGTAGATTCATTCCATTTTCAGGGCTTACAATAGCTTTTCCTCTATCTGGGGAGCTCTGCATCCAGAATTTTATGAGCCTCTTTCCCATTATTCTGGCTTTAGTTCAAATATCCCTTCTTCAGACCCTCCCTGATTGCTAAATGCAGTAGCTTTCTTTTCCCTACTCTCTATCCCATTTCCCTCTCTTATTTATTCATTGCACAATCTGAAGTTATCTTTGGTTATTTACATGCTTATTGTCTTTCTTCTCAGGCTGAAGGTGAGCATGGAGACTATGTCTTGTTGATCATAATATTCCCTGGTACCTAAAAGAGTTCCTGATAGAGAGTAGGTACTCAATAAATAGATGTTGACTAGTTACTGCTATACTCAAGACTGTCTTCAAACATTAACACAATGTTGAGAGCAGTAGAGACATAATTTATATCTTCCTTCCAAAGTCTTAATAGAGATATTGAAAGAAATAAAGGAATATATGAAATGAATATTTTCTTCATAATTAAGGTTAAAACATAGTGGCTTACTAGTTTTATATTAGAGATAATAAACTGGAAGAGGAAAGAGAAGGATAGTTTATTGGATAACTATCATGCATTGGGCTGTACTTTAGACCATTGCCCCTTGAACAACACAGGTTTGAATTGAGTCACTCGTAAGGGGATTTTTTTGGACAAATATACAGTACAGTACTATACATCCTTTTTCTCTTCCTTATGATTTTCTTAACATTTCTTTTCTCTTGCTTACTTTATTATATAATACAGTATTTAATACCTACAACATAGAAAATGTATGTTAATTGACAGCTTGTATTATTGGTTAAGGCCTCTGGTCAACAGTAGGCTATTAGTACTACGTTATTTAATATCTTAACAACCTTGTGCTATATGAGCGGTATCCATTTTATGTGTAAAAATGCAAACTCAGAGAGGCTAATTTGATCAGAGTCACACAGCTAATAGGTGGTAGGACCAAAATTCACAATCAAATCTACTTCTAAAGTCCATGTTTTTCCATACTACAACAGATCAAAATATGATAACTTAACAAATATATACATTTTCTCTTATTTTAAGAGATTCTTCCAAAATAAAACCCCAAATGTATCAACCACGTTTATAAAATAAGAATTCAACCTTTATTTACCTTCACATACTTGTGGATTTTTAAGAACCTAAAACTACAGACACAATTTATGTTTTGCTAAAGAAAATTATAAAGGTCATTAACTACTTCTATAATTGTGGTCAATTATATATATATTTTTTAAGATTTATTTATTCATTTGAGAGAGAGAGTATGCACACATGCAAGTGAGGGGAGAGGCAGAGGGAAAGATTCTCCAAGCAGATTCCCTGCCAACCGCGGAGCCCAACACAGAGCTCTATCCTAGGACCCCAAGGATCACCACCCGAGCCAAAACCAAGAGCTGGACGTTCAATCGACTGAGCCACCCAGACACCCTTATAATTTTCTTAACAGTGGACTCAGGTCATTTTCTTTGAGTGGACAGAGATTTATCTAAAAAAAATAAAACATTTTGTCTGAAAATCCCTCTAGTACTTAATAGTGGGAAAAAGAAAAAGTTCATATGGAAAATTAAAACGAATTCATAATGTTAATCATTCATACAGAATTTGAAACCATCTTCAAATACATACATTACTGCTATTACGATTCTTTTCCAGTATGGAAAAATAACCATTTATTTCCAATTTTAGAGAGAATGGTTTTCCATTTATGTTCCCATATTTACATCCAAGAATAACACTAGCATTATTGTATTATATCATATTACAAGTATTCCTCAAATTCATATCTGCCTAAAGGGACTTCTAGTTGGTAGTGAAATTCCCTGTGCCTCTCAATTTGCAACACTCTCCTCCTTTTCCTCCCTTGCCTTATTGCTACAAACTCTGCCCATGTCTAGCATTTTCTCTCCCCAGCCAGCTCAGCTTCTCACCAGTGTACCTTTTTGTTCACACTAGAAATTTCCTTTACCATCCCTAGATGTGTCCTCTGATGAAATGGCCTGAACAGTCAACAGTAAGTCTTGATTTCCCACCGGAAACAGGTAAATCCTTCTGTCATGTCTTAGTTAGTATGATTTAAAACTATCACTTAAGAAGCCTTTCTTTTCTTTTTTTTTTTTAAGATTTTATTTATTTATTTGAGAAAGAGAGAATGAGAGACAGAGAGCACGAGAGGGAAGAGGGTCAGAGGGAGAAGCAGACACCCTGCTGAGCAGGGAGCCCAATGCGGGACTCGATCCCGGGACTCCAGGATCATGACCTGAACCGAAGGCAGTCGCTTAACCAACTGAGCCACCCAGGCACCCCAAGAAGCCTTTATTTTCAACTTAATCTCTCACTGAACAAAAAAGTTTCAATCTCTTGAAAATTTTAAAAAAGATATTTTTTACTTTAAGCCAGAAAATTCAGGAGTGATGGTAAAAAGGACTATTGAACATGTTCACTGTTTCAATCAGTACAAAGAAAGGAAAAATGTAAAACATCAAAAAGGACAAAGCCAGGAGGCCCTGGGCATTCGTACTGGCAATAAGCCACAGCTTCCCCACAAAGATCTTAGTTTCCCATCTCCACCCCCAACCCTCTAAGGCCTAAAAACAACCACCACTCTTAGGGTTTAGAGTGTGCCTTTGCCTAATAGGTAAGCAGGTGCTACTTGGGACAGAGAAAAACTCTATCTAAACTATTTGGAAATCTGAACTTTTTCTCCCACAGGCACAGCATCACATGTAGTGATGAGGTCTAAGGTACCATTAGCCACTATTAGTTCTGGCTTAGGATTAGAACAGTAATAAAAATGACTATTATTTATTGAATCTTTACCATATGTCAGGCACTGTGCTAAAGTACTTTATATATATGATCTCACTTCTTACAATAACCCTGTATGATAGGTACTTAACTATTATTTCTATTTCTTTCAGATGCGGAAATTGAAGCACAGAGAAGTTATGTAATTAGCCCGTGTACAGAAAGTGATGAAATCAGAATTCAAACTTTATTGATACCAAATCTATAATTAGACATTATTTATAGGATGATGAGTCAGTGAATTTCCAGAAATAATTTTATGTATTCATACATTGGGTCTACCTATATTTGACTTGCATTATCAGAATCCTATTGGGTTCATCAGCTAGACTTCAGATTTTATTTACCCTAATAAAATATCACAAATATAGCTATTTTTTAAAGGATACAAAATTTACCAACCAGCAGCTTAGTACATACCTACTGTGATATTACCCATCTTGCTTTGTAATGTTATTTTACCTGTAAAAGAAAAAAGAAGACAATTTTATATATTAGGGATAATTTAGAAAGAAACTGTTATATAGTATTTTAAAACATGGTTGGACATCCATAATATTATTTAATAACATTATTATTGTTGTTCACAAATTTTCTCAGTATTACAAATCTAGTAAGAGATTTAGCTGCAACTCTGAAATAACTAGCTTTAGTCATCTATACAAACTCTCTTCCTCTATTCTACCTTAAGCTTCTCTAGCATAACTACAAAACAAACCACCATACTTTCTGTGAAACATGAAAGAAAAATGATACTTCTATAACCCATAAATGAAAAAGTTACTTAGATGTACTCACTATGTATTTTCAACATAAACATCACTGTATTTATCCGATCACTCAAAACTAAATTTTGAACCAACTAACACTAAAATAATCTATGGAAAAAAGTTATTACTGTTGTTTTTCAGGTCACTCTGCCATGTCTATTATAGTAGTTTCTGTGCCAAGAGTTACAGAGTTTGGGGCAGGAATAATGAACACATTGAAGTATGATTAGCAAAGAAAAAGGCTTCAGAGGTTCCTGTCTTTTGATAAAAATATACTTTTCCAGGACAAGAATAGGATATTGCAACCATTCTCCCCAGCCCCCTTTCCTCTAATACCAAAATTAGTAGGATTTTTGTTCATATGTGTATTTGTTTGGAGAATTACTCCTAGACCCATACTACCTATGTTTACTGCACTGAAAATGTAAGCAACGTTGCCTCTTCTACCATCATTCCAAAACTACATTAAAAAGTAAAGGAATAGCTTTTATCTCAGAAATAATCTAGGGTAACTGGACTCATTTACTTAATTTCTTGCATCCCTGTAAATACTGACATGTATAAGTACCTGAGCAAAAGCAAACAAAACACTTGATTCATTTGTTCAACAGTTAGATGTATTTTGATTGCAAAAATCTCTCTAAAAGTCTTATATTCCATCATACTTCATTTGAGGATATGAACAAGGGGTACATTTGTGTAGGAATAAAACTTGGTTTGTATGGAGAAATTAAGCTCCTAAAATTTTCAAGTCTCAGTAAGTTACAAGGTTGTAAAGATTCTTTGAAATGTGTTATGTAAATATTATTTCATTGGTGTGCTCTAGACACTCTCTTCCAATTTTCAAATACAGTAAATGCAGATTCACCATCACATGCAATTAGTGGCCAAAGATCACATAGCTTCTAAGATGGTTTTCAATGATCCCTGCCTCCTGGTATTCATGCCCTTGTATAATTTCCTCCCATTATGTATAGGCTGTACCTAACAATTTGCTTTTAACACAGAAAATAAGGCAAAAGTGATGGGATGTTGCTTCCAAAATTAGGTTACAAAAAGATTCTGGTTTCTGTCTTGCTAGCCCTCTTCTGCTCTGAGGGAAGCCAGCTAACCATGTTGACAACTGCCCTATGAAAGAAGCCCACTAGAAAGGAACTAAAAAAGGCCTCCAGCAAATAGGTCTGACCTGAATTCTGCCAACAACCACAGGAATGAGCTAGGAAGCCGACTGACCTTTGGTGGAACCTTCAAATGGTCCCCACAGCCTCGGATGACACTTTCATAACAACCTCATAAGAGGTCTTGAGGCAGAGGAGCCAGTTAAGCCACACCAAGATTCCTGATCCATTCGAACTATAAGACAATAAATGTTTGTTGCTTTCAGCTGCTAAGTTTTGAGGTAATTTGTTACACAGGAAGAGGTAACTAGTATAGATGTTGAAAGATGAAAGTGGGGTGCTGCCATAATAAATACCTAAAAATGTAGGAGTAGCTTTGGAACTTGGCAGTGGGTAGAGGTTAGAAAGATTTTGAGGAACAAGTTAGAGAAAGCTTAAATTGCCTTGAACACACTGTTAGGAGAAAGCTGGACTTTGAGTATTCTTCCCACAAGGGCTCAAGAGGAAGTGAGGAAAATGTTTTTGGAAATTGGAGAAAGGAGGATTCTTGTTAAGTAGTTGTAGAAACTTAACAATGCCATTATCTTCAGTAATGTGGAAACTAGGAAATGTACCTTAATGAACGGAGTGATTTAACTAAGATTTCCAAGCAAGGTTAAAGTGTTGTGAGTGCTACCTACTTTTTTTTTTTTTGCCACTTACTGTAAAATGCAAAAGATGAGAGATAAACTAATTTAAAGAAAGGACTGTTAATCAAACAAACAAAACCAAGACACACATAGTTTTGAAAATTTTCAGCCTCTCAAGATGGCAAAGATGTTAAAGTTAGGAATAGCTTCCCAACAAAGTTTGAATCCAGCGCATTGGCAGTACATGGTCTAAAAATGAAGCTAAGGGGTGACTGCAAAACCTCTTTTTAAGACCCCAGAAAGATCAAGAGTGGTACTTCATAGTACTAATTATACAAAAAGCCATTTAAAAAAATTAAAGGTGTATTTCATAGATCCTCTCAAACAATAGACATTCAAGAAAGCTTGAGTACATTTTACCTCAGTATCTCTGCAGAAGTCCACATTTTTTTAAAGAGATTCTTAGATGTGGCTTTTATCTTATGGAATAAACCCCAACATGATTCAGAGGAGGCGGACAAAATTTTTGAGAGAATAACAACAGCTAACACACTGCTAAACTGAACTGAAAGGAACAGTTACGGTACAAAGTAAAGAGACCACTGGGTTTCCAAAATTCTGTCAGGAAGCAGACTGAGAAAACCACTCAGATGCAAACACATGATGTATTTCATGAAAAAGGAAGAATGACTCAAAGGGAGGACAAAAACTCAGAGGGCAAAGCCTGAAACCCTAAAGAATTATTCCCAGGCCTTTTGATATAATCAAGGAAACTCCAATGTTTGCCCACCCAAATTTCAAAATCACTATGGACCAGTGACCCCTTTGTGCCTCTCATTTTCCCACTTTTGAACAGGAAAGTCTATAGCAATTATCCCATACCTGTCCCATCAGTGTATGTTGGGTGTGTAGGTGGTATGCATGGGGGTGGGAGCGGGGCCAGATAACTTGTCTCTTTAGTTCACAGGTCTTCAGATTCAGAGAAATTGTTCTTGAGGAATTGTACTTAAGCAACTATACTTGAAGAGCCTCACATACACCTTGATCTGATTTTGATGAAGAGATTCTGGACTGTGATGTGGTGCATAATGGGACGAGACTTTTAGGAAACTTGGAAGGAAGAGAGTGTATTCTGCATGTGGGAGGGACATGAATCATTTGGGGGAGGGGCCAGAAGATAGCCTGGCCATCCAAAGCCTTATAGGATATCTGGGAAAATACACACATGAAAAGTTAAAATTTAGTATTTATAAATAATTATAAGTGAAAGTCATAAGCAAACAATATGTATTAGGTGCCACGGCCATTCAGAAGAGACTAAAATGACCTGATATGAACAAGGAGAATAGTGATAGTGGAGATATCACCAGAGCTGAGATTTGAAATATGGATAAAATTTGAATATGTTGAGGGGGAAGGATTTTCTGGGAAAAAGAATTATATAAACAAAGGTAAAAAGGCAGAACTACACATGCTAGGTTTAAATCATACAAATCAGTTAAACTGAAGCAATTAGGGAAGTCTATGAGGATGGGGATCATGTCTTTCTTATTTAGCATTATATCCTAAAAGCATAGTACAGTACCCAGTACATAGTCAACATTATTTTTTAAATGTTTTTTTTTTATTGATTTGAATGATTTTAAAATGTTCAAATTTAGTTTGGAAAAACAAGTGAAGAGCAACCTGTAGAAGAACCATGGGGTGCTAGTCTATTGACTTTATCACCCTAAATTGAAAGAGTCACTGAAGAATTTTAAGATGCATAACAATAAGAAAACCATGCTTTAGGGGCACCTGGGTGGCTCAGTCAGTTAAGCGTCTGCCTTCGGCTCAGGTCATGATCCCAGGGTCCTGGGATCGAGTCTTGCATCGAGCTCCTTGCTCGGCGGGGAGCCTGCTTCTCCCTCTGCCTGCCACTCTCCCTGCTGGTGCTCTCTCCCTCTCTCTCTGACAAATAAATAAATAAAATCTTAAAAAAAAGACAAAAAAAAGAAAGAAAACCATGCTTTAGGGAGATTAATCTAGTGTAAAACAGTTAGGACTTCCACTCAGAATTCTCTTTATCGCTTCTACCTCCTGAACACTTCAAAAATAAGATGAAGTAGACCACTGATTTTTATGATTTTTAACTATTAGTAAAGAACTATGACAGTTTTATAGTCAGTCATTTAGCTAGTGAGTCCAGTCACTCACTCAGCAAGGCGAAAGAGCTTTATTATCTTATACTAGTCTCAATGAATTCTATAAAAATTTGTTATTTTTTTAAATGAAAACATGGTCTTTCTCAAAAGCCAATCATTAGTGCTCATCATGAAAGTAAAGTGATCTCAAAGAAAGTTATGGTTCCTACAGCCATAAGACAGAAGTTTTAGATCTATTAAAGAATGAGGACTAGTTCATATTATAGTGGCACCGAGAGTCTCAGACTACATCTCTTTTGAATGTTAAGAATTCTATATAGTAAAAGCAGAGTGGAACAAGAAAAACTACGAAAATGAGGAATATTTATAAAGAATATTTCAAAATATTTTTGTCAATGCTAAACTTTTATTTTTTTTTAAACATTTTATTTATTTATTTGACAGAGAGAGACACAGCGAGAGAGGGAACACAAGCGGGGGGAGTGGGAGAGGAAGAGAGCTCCTCGCTAAGCAGGGAGCCCGATGAGGGGCTCGATCCCAGCACCCTGGGATCACGAGCTGAGCTGAAGGCAGACGCCTAACCGACTGAGCCACCCAGGCGACCCAATGCTAAACTTTTAAAGCAATAAACAAAAAATATATTTTCAACTGATATTAAAATATTTAGAAAACTCTACCCTAAAGAGAAATATTCCAAAGTTGTTAGAATATACAAAATGGACCTCTTACTTCAAATACTTTGTGGAATAAGGCAGAATATTTAAAAGGACTCAACTCAACCAAATAGGCATTACTAGCACA